AAAAATGAGTAGCAAAGTTGCTAACAAATAAAGAATAATAATAATAATAATAATAATAATAATATTCACTTACATTCTTTTGTTAGTGAAATGTCCCGTGTGCAAAATTACACGAAAAAATTCATGATCTTTTTTTCATGCTGTTGCTTTTTTGTCTTGTGTAATTTCTATTCAGTTTCTTGTTCAGTGGATCTTGATTTTTTTTTCTCCATTAAATAGGTCTCGAGCCAGCACGCGAAACATTTACTTCGTTTCCAATGACCAAAAATAGAATAATGGTTATTCTTTTTCTTTCATTTTGGGACAAATAAACACTTTTTTCTCTCGTTGGATGGAGTAAATAAACTCAAAAAAAATTTGAGAAAAAAATGGACCAAGTTGGCAGAGGTTTTATGATGGTGTAGAATAAACATGGTGTTAAACATACAACATAAATGAACCTCTGCAAACATACGATAGAAAACAATCGAATAAATACCATTATTGTAAAATTGTCTGTGTGATCAGTGCCACACGGGTACCATAATTTTCCTTCAATTTTCTTCATTCGGTAGCTTGAACAATTTTATTTAGAAATCGAATGGAAATGGCCTGAAGAAATTTGTTGTTAAAGAGGTTTTTTGTTGTTATATTTTATCAATTTCTCCGAAAAATGTTAACTTCATCGAAATATTCTTAAAAATAAGAAGATATGATTGAAATGAAATGCTTGAAAAAATCGTAAACTGACAAAATTGTCGTAAATCGTAAAGTGACAAAATGTCCTTGAAACTGACAAAATTGCGCGACTGATTCGCCGAATCGAGTTCATTTTCAAAAACACATCAAATGTAATCCACTGCACTTGAGTAAATAAATGTGTGTTTTTTGTTGATTTTGATGTTGATTAACACGAATCGATCAATTTTCAAATGACCGGTCAGCAATACAAATTGAAATGTGTAAAATTCAATTATACATGTTATCGGTTGTTGTTGTTTTTGATTGTTTGTTGTTTTTTATTTTTCAGGCTGAAAATATCAGGTGGTTGTATAAAAACCATACACAACAATAGCTTCTCCATTTCACTCGCAAAGCATCACAGTCTCATCCAATGAGTGTTCCATTTAATCGATCGATATTTTCGATTTGTGTACATGTGTGTGTGTGTGTTTAACGAAAACATGTCCGTGGGAACACAATGCAATTATTTGCAATCGGACTCGTTTCGCCAAACCGCAAACAAAAATAAATTGAATTCATGGCGATTCGATGTTTTTTATACTTCACGTCAATGTTGTTATTGACCATTATAAACTATAACATCAACGATATCAAAAGGATTGAGTTGAATGGTTTTGGCACTGTTTACCGATGATATGCCATATAAAACGAAACGAACCGCTCTTGGAATTAAAAATGATGTCGTGAATAATGTTTATTTATCAATGTAAGCAATGGTTCTAAATTTCAAAAAATAAAAAACCATTTATGTCTGCTGTAGAATGGAAGAGATTTCTAATTGATTATTAATTGATCTGATTTAGCAATTAAATCAGCATATAACTCAATTATTACAAACGATTAAACGATTAGTAGCAATTGATTGCATTTGCTCCATTGTTACGACGTGATTATTTTCAACGGAAAATCAGTTTTAGACAATACATAATCGGTGCATAACTTTTGCGGGTTGCCAGGTTCAATGGTTGGATTCGAAAGAAATCGGTGGATTTGTATGGAAACCCTTTGATCTTCGAGCTGAGATATATATGTATTATTTTTTGCAGTAGCTAATTCGCATTCGTGGTCGTGCGCAGAGTTCAACGGTTCTGTGTGATTAACGTTCAACGATGGATAAGTGTAGGATAATGACAACGTTCTTTTGTATCTACTTTGATCGATGTGAAGTGAATATTAATTAAGTGAATCGTCGATCAATTGGTCTCACTCATTTGCACAATGCCACAATGACTTCGTTGTTGTGGCCACATTTCTGTTGGTTAAATATTATCGATAGTACTTACTATGTGTTTGAATGCCGTGGTCACTCTTGGTCTCTCTCTCTCTCTCTCGCTCTCGCTCTGTATGTGTTTATATTTTTTTGTATTCGATGATGATGTCGATGATGATAGAGTTGGTACGTAGTTGTTTAAGCTTCTTCAAAAAAGGGTGATACCAAGCTAATCAGCATGCGTTACATGAACATTTTATGGCTTGGAAACATGTATTGTTGCTATATTCGTTGACGCCCTGAAACAAATCGAAAACAATATGTTATGACCAAAGTTGAACAAAGCAGAATTGTGATTATTTAATCGTTACATGTTATTATGAGCTAACTATTGCCACCGATTTTAAATCGACGCGGCGTGTACAAACATGAAGAATCGAATTGTCCAAGCACGCAAAAAAAAACGAAAGAAACAAATCAGCATGAAATAAATGAAAAAAAAAATCTTTTCTTCGATGTTACGTGCATTAATTATTACATGTATGTACGTTGTTCTTTTTCTCAAATCGCCGCGCTTGCTGAATATACAATTTTTAATGAATACGTGAAAGTTTTTCTCTTCTTGCTTAAATTTTTTTTCGATTGATACAAGCAAAATGCATGATGAAGCATGGTGGAAAAAAGTGGAAAAGAATAACGTCGAAACGTTTTGCGAATCTTAAGGATCCAGTCAAGGTATTACATGAAAAATGATGAAACAAACGAAACATATATAAAATTTAAAAAAAAGTAGTAGTTTTCACTGAATTTTTCAAATGCCATAGAGATAGCACGAGCGAAACTTGGAGAAAAATGAAGACTCGAGAGAAGAAGTTTTGTGCTCAGACAAAAACATCATCGACCGAATTGTTGGCATGCCAGATTTTGAACACACATACACTTCTCTATTTTTTTTTAAACAACGATTGCTCACTTCACAACATGAAAAATGAACGTACAACTTTATAACATTTTCGCGAAAAGTTTTTCACTCAAGCATTTTATGTATTGTACAATTTTCACCGATACCATTTTTACATAGAATACATGTCTATTTCTATTGTTCATTGAGCATTTCTTTTTCTGTTTTTCTCATTCTCTGTGCTTAAACTATAGTTTCACTTTACAAAAAGGAATTCGCCTAACTTTACGAGTTAAGAGAGAGAGAGAGAGAGAGAGAGAGAGAGCAAGAGTGATGAAGAAGAATCAACAACGCTTAGCTCAATAGGTTTCGTTTCATTTTAATTAATGAACAAATTCAAACGTTAATTTATGAAACATATCCCCGAAACTTAAACATAAAACAACATTGTATGTCACTGATGACTCATTTTCTAAAACCCATTTTATGGCCCAATTTATAAATCGTATGCATTTTAGTATGCTAAATCGAATATAAACACACATAGACCCATATTAAAATTGAATTTTCGAAACAGGTATAACACAATACGGTGCACGTAAATACAAAAAAGATTCACTTTTGATGAGATCACACTCACACACACACATCCATGTACGATGATTTTTGATTTAACCCAATTTATCTTGAATGGGTCTCGTGAAATAATGTAGAAAACAACAGCAAGCTGACATTCCATAAATTATCAATTTATAATTAGCTACGACCCGAAGCGATATAGAAAACGATAGAATATAAACCACACTTTATGGGGTATATTCGATTATCAGATTCATTATTAAGTGAAACAATGGAATCCATTACATCCTCTCTAATCGATTAATCAAAACTCTTGTGCCAAATCACAATGACACCATATTACATGCACACTTTTCACGATGGTTATGTCGTTTTGACGTCTTTTCATTGAATAACAACAGAATAATAGGCTGGAAATATTAGGCATAGAATGCCATGAAATGGTTCCCCCCCCTCTCTCTCTCACTTTCTCTTTCCCTTTATTTCAACGAAAACCAAATGCTCGTTAAATGAACTCACATGCTCGACAATATTTCAAATAATTGATACACATTCTCAAAAACAAATACATGAATATTTAAATACATAATTGTTTGTAGAGACAGCATTAAATGTCATACGAGAAAAAATGGTGCTTAGTATTCTCCGACTTATGTTCCCGGGTGCATATTACATAGTTAACGAGAATTTATGATGGATCTCTTGAAATTATGACTTTGAATTGATTTTTGAAATAGATGGAGATAAAAAAAATTACATGCGCCACAACCTTCCATGACCATCGTTCAATAAAAAGCGAAAAATTGGTTTTGCGTTCTACCAGAAGTGTGAATAGACCTTTGGTTATTGATTTGTTCATTGAATTTGGATGTTGGCGTGCATATACATGAAGTAGATGGAATTGCTTCGTCTCAAAATCCAATTTAAAATTGTGATTTTCAATTCGCAAAATCCAAACAACGGGATTCGGACAATTCGTTAATTCTTTTATTTTTGTTTTCATTTCACACTCCTCCACGGTTCGATGGTGATGAAGGTGTTATATAGTTGTGATGATTTGTGACTAGGTTTTTTGCGGTGAAATGAAAAGCGAACCAGAAAAAAGTGGGAACATTTTTTGAATATACTTTTTCGCGAACGTTTTCCGAAAAATTCGGTCATTTTTCCAAGAAGAATATTCGTTCCGACATTTTGCTGTCTCGTTTTCGTTTCACCGCAAAAAAGAAACTCAGTCACAAATCATCAATTTGGAATTGAATGTTTCAAATCAGATTATTGTGTGAGGGCAAAAAATAAAATAAAATTGCATAATGAATTCTATTATCGGTTCATCGTGGCTGCATTCAACATTTTCAATCTATATCCAATTTATTTTCGTCTCTTGTGCGGTGGGCGAGTATTTTGTGTTTGTATGGAGTTTTTTAGCCGAGCGCAAATAATACAGCAGCATACAGACGATTCACGCATTAACGATTTGGAACATTAACAAGTGCTGATTTCCAACGAGCATATACATATACATATTTGGCGCTTAAGCATTGACGCATTTTAATTGAAATGCAGAGAATTTTGCTTATTGAAGCGAATTCACACTTTTTTGTTGTTTTGTGTGTCTATTTTCAAATATTTTTCGTTGACATACTGTAAATATGCAATGACATGTCGTATTTTGTGGTTGCCATATACATTTAATCGTACACAATTCATACATTCGGGTGAAACTCGCTGCTAATTTGTGTGCAAATGTCAACGGTGCATTTTTTTGTTTGTGCAATCATTCTTGTGCTTCACTATTCGGTTTTATTTTGTTCACTCGTTTTGATTTTGATTTGCATTTTTCTTTGTCAGTTTTTTTTATATTGTGTTTGTATGTTTGTTGGCCTCTTCGATAGCTTTGTGTTTTATGAATGGCCATTGTCTCTAGTCTGGCTTCAGTTTGATAGCACCTTTTTTTCTCTGTCTCTTTGCTTGAAATTTTTTCACTTGATGAACGCACATTGACTTTTTGTCTGTCATTGTTGATTTTTTTTTGTTGAATGCCCTTATTTATGAATGCGTTTCTAAAAATATCGCTGACATCTTTTGATTGCTATGATATTACATTGAATTTGAGTTGAATGTTATTGAATTCGGTTTAAAACAAAGGTAATTTGCGGAATTTACAATTCTACTACGCGATCCATTTGAAGTACAGGGCTATAATCTCATTTTAAGATTGAATCAAAAAACGATATTACTGCTTTTTACGTTAAACCAATCAGGTATAGATTCTGAAGGGAGTCCAAAATGTCGAAAAGAAATTTATCTTATTTTTTTTTTTGAAAAATCTAGGGAGATATTTTTGTCTCCAAGAAATTGATTGCCAAAAAAAGGTCCAACATTTGTCGAGGGGTAATTTCTCAACCCGTCAGGGGGATACCTTCTTCACAAACCATGCAATCAGGTGAATCTCATTATATCGATTTCAAAAAAATAATTTTCAATGGCAAACGCTATAAATCTGACAAGCGATTGCATTCCTTAAAAAATATCGTTTACGTGTGCGATTTTTACATTATTTTTTTTTTTCATTCTGTTTCGTGGTTCGTTTTTGCTGAAGCTAGAGAGCACTTAAAGAAATTACGGAAATTTCATTTGATTGATTTTGAAATTGCATGTGAACACATATATCAGGTGTATAAATAGCGTTTTACTTGACCTGATTGCACAAAGTGAACTAGAGAATGAACAAAATATGTAACAAAAATAAAGTCAAATTCAGGTGCTGCACTTCAAATCGTCAACGGTTGTGCGTGTACTTGAATGGATCAATGAACCAAGAGTGGCGATTGGTGGTGATGTGATGATGAAAACGAATATTACGATCGTTACATGGTGGTCAGCATTAAATTTGAGCTCGTGCTTGACCGTTTGGTCATTTTTTTGTTTGCAATGCCAATTTGAAGTTGCACATGTTCAGAATTTCTTTTATGTGTATGAGAGAGAGAGAGAGTGAGTGAAAATTCTGGCACTGGCACAGTATTGCAAACTTAAACCATTTACGGTAATAGTTTTTCTGTCTCGCTGAGCACTAAATCGAATTGGACAGTTCAGTGAGCATATTTATATACAGGTGTAATGAATTATGTTGTGTGTCTGTATATTAAAACTACTCGCATCGAAAGAGCATATTGTTGCTTTTAATACTTCAACACATCCACACATATACATTGTGTCCAGCCCCAACAGGCAAAAAAAGTGTAACATCAGCCATCATATGAATCATACACTATCTATATATTATATTCGACAAGAGGTGTACAAAGTTAAGGATGGTTCCGTTATTCGGTTGAATTGTTGCGCCAGCGAGATGTCTCCCTCTCTCCCTCTTCTCATCAGCGTTAAGCCAAACATTTGCACATGCATTGATGTAAAAGCTTGTACAGACGACACAAAGAAAAGGAAGCAAACAGAGAATGATAATAAAATCACGAAGCAGAGAGTGATGTTTATAGCCACTATTTGCACCTAGACGGAGTTCATTGAAAATAAAAGAGTGTGATGCTTGTATCTCGGGCTCTGTTTTTGCAACACTGGCCCGTTTACAAATCTTCCTCATGTTTTATTCAACTATAAACACACACACACACACTCACACAAAGCACGTCACCATGATAAATAAATGATGTGGTGTTGTAACAATTATTTGTTGTATTCTTTCGTTGGGTGCAACAAAAACACCAACCACGGTTAGCAGTGTCAGTTTTATGGATGCTTTTACAGTCACTCACTGTCAACAGGCAACACAACGTCCCGAAACGTTCGTTATCACATCACTTT